TTGGTTTTTTTTTTTTTTTTTTTTGAGTCAGGGTTTCACTCTGTCACCCAGGCTAGAGGGCAGTGGCATGCTCACAGCTGCTGGAACCTTGACTTCCTGGGCTCAGATGATCCTTCCACCTCAGACTCCCAAGTAGCTGGAACTATAGGTGTGTGCCACCATGCCCTGCTAATTTTTAAAATTTTTCTAGAGACAGAATCTTGCTATGTTTCCCAGGCTGGTCTTGAACTCTCAGGATCAGGCAATCCTCCCACCTCGGCCTCCAAAAGTGCTGGGATTACAGGCGTGAACCACTACACCTGACTAATTTTTTGATTTATTGTAGAGATGAGGTCTTGCTATGTTACTCAGGCTAATCTCGAACTCCTGGGCTCAAACAATTCTCCTACCTCGGCCTTCCAAAGTGCTGGGATTACAAATGTGAGCCACCACGCCTTGCTAATTTTTTGATTTACTGTAGAGATGAGGTCTTGCTCTGATGCTCAGGCTAGTCTCAAACTCCTGGGCTCAAGCAATCTTGCCTTGGCCTCCAAAACTGTTGAAACTACAGATGTAAGCCACCATGCCTGGCTAATTTTTTGATTTATTGTAGAGATGATGTCTTGCTATATTGCCCAGGCTGGTCTCGAACTCCTGGGCTCAAGCAATCCTCCTGCTTCGGCTTCCCAAAGTACTGGGATTATAGGTGTGAGCCACCCTGCCCAGCAAGAACACAGGTTTTGCTCAAGAGGAATTTGAGAACTTGGGTCAAGTGAAGAGGACACTGTCCTCCAGAGCAGTGTCTCCTGAGGGAAGGTGACAGGAGGGTCTCAAGGGGTGACGGAGAGGGAGTCACTGCACATGGAGGGGGTCCCAGTGGCACAGACACAGTGAGTCATCCTGTCAGCTCACGGGTTGCATGATGTGACAAAGCCACAGCTCATCCCAGGGTGCAGATGCCAGCAGGGAAGCTTACTCGGGTCATCTGTAAGTTGCTGGGGTCTGTCAGGAGTTGGCCTTCACCGGCAGGGTGGCCATATCCCCCACGGGCTGCAGGACAAGGGACTGGGAACAGGCTGGTTGCTCAAGTGCATTAAACACCTATCACCCCTAAATCCCCTCCTTCCTGTTCACACTTGGACCGAGCACAGGCTGTGGAGAGCCCTTGGGCTAGGGGTGAGGGGCTGGAGGATGGGGAGGGAGTCACTCCTTGTGGGTAGGGCCAGTGGGTGCCCAAGGAGTGGTTGTCGGAGGGCAGTGGCAACGAGGGGATTTCTCCTTGGGGCCCTTGCACGGGTGCTGAGGACCAGGGAGCACGCTCAGGCAGGCCACCAGGGGACAGCTGAGACACCCTGCCCAGGAGGGCCGAGAAGGATGCCCAGTCCAGGGGCCTGGACGCAGTCTTGAACTAGAAGCTCCATGCTTGGGAACTTGGAGTTGGGGGAAGAAGAGAACAGGAACAGGAACCACAGGGACAGTCGTGATCACCCATCAGGCCGGTTGCGGCTGTGCGTTTAGCCCTCAGCACTAGGCCATGGGGAGGTCTAGGGTAACTGCCCCAGAAACCCTAGGGTGTCTTGTCCTGCCTTCTAGTGGGACAGGGAGGAGCGAGGGAGGGGGGTGCTAGGAACCCAAGCTGTGTAGACAGAGGGCCAGGCCTGGCTATGGCAGCATCGGGCTGAGATTTGCAGCTGTGGGAGAAACAGCAGTCAGGAGGGTCCACTCCATCTGGCTGGTGACACCGAAGGGACCCCATTCCCTTGTGCATGGAATTGTAACCTCAGGATGCCAACCCGCCTTCTTGGGGTGCTTGTAACAACCCATGGGTGTGAGACTCTTGGCACCCAGTGGCACAAGGAAGGTTTGCTTCCTCCCAGCAAGCAAGTCCTGAGAGAGCACTGGAAGGTGAGCCACTCAGGGCGGGGACGCGAGGCTGTTTTGTCCTTGGCTATGTCCAGTACTCAGTCCAGTGCCCCATGGAGGAGACCTCTGTAACTGTTACCTAAACAAATCACAGTAGAATAAAAGCGAGAGTCCCAAAGTGCTGGCTCTCCCATGTCTGGGTGCTGGGCCGTGTGTCTGGCGTGGGCTCTCCCAGAGGCAGCCCCAGCCACAAGGATGACCCACGGGCACGTCCTGACTGTCAGTCATAATCCACGCGCCATCCACCACTATTGTCTTCTCTTGTTTCTGTCTCTAGCATTCGCTGGCTTTCTCCCTCAGTCACTGAGAGTTATTTCCTGGAAATTTATGGCCTCTGGCCGAACTCAGAGCATCTGTTTTCCAAACTGGGCAGTTTCCAGACTGGAAGCTCCACCGACAAAATGGACTAACACCCCGTACCCCAAACAAACCTGACTGCCTCCCTGGGACTCAGTTCGCAGAGACCTTCTGGGGCACAGGAGGGGGCTGTTGGTGTGAAGTTCAAAGCCAAGCGCCAGCTCAGAAGAACTTGGAGCCAGGCAGACCCTTGGCATTCTCAGTGTGGTCTGGCTTTCTCTCCCTGGGCAGAGCAGAGTGTTACACCCTGATGCCCTCGGTGCCTCTTGGCGACACATTCCAGTCTTTCCCCCAACCACGAAACCACTCTCGGCAGCGCTTTTGATTGACAACAGCTATCCGGTCCCTCACAAATGCTACTTAGAACCATGCACCCATCCTTCCACAGTCTAGCATGTTCTGTTGAGTTCTCAGCTGAACTGTGAGAAGCGTCTTGTGAAGCGAGGCCCGGCTCCCAGGGCTTCCGTCTGGAGGGGCCTGCTCTGCCCCCTTGAACCTCTTCTACGGGACTGTCCCATCTGGATGCAGACAGCCTGTCATTGTCCGTGATGGCAGCCCAGTCCGTTTGGGTACTGGTGGCAGTGCTTTCCCTTGCCGTGACGTCAACACACATCTGCTCACCGAGCTGGCTTCCAGGCCCGCTGGCATTAACGGGGGCTGATGGGAATGGGGGAGTCGGGAAAGGCCTGGGAGGCGTGGGAGAGACATTTCCAATCCATCACAAAAATGTTTAAACCCCAGCAAAGCTCTGCCAACAGCGATTGCAGGAGACACTTCATTTTCCTCACCCAACATTCCATTAGGTGATAGCCAGCTAGCAGCACTTTGAAAGCCATTTCTGGGCTGGTGTGTGTGTTCGCATTTTATATGCCAGAAAATGCGGTGCTTTTCCCAGGGTGGCTGCTTCGTGGGGATCGTGCCACACCTGCGGTGGGATACAGGGCGCCTGGGTCCACCTGGTGGGTTTGAAAGAGACCCGGGGGAAGGTCTTGGGACCAGGTGGATGCTCTCAGCTGCACAGAGAGGGGGCTGATGGGAAAGGGGCACGGCCGGCACCAGGGTGTGGCAGGAAGGAGTCCCTTGCCCCCAGAGTCACGAGTCCTGATGCCTGGCTGTTCTCAGTGTCCTCACAGCCATCGTCTCTCCCCCCCGCCACCCCCATCTCACTGGTACTCTCCTCGGTGGGGTGGTCCCCACTGTATTTTCTTGGCATCTGACCTCCTGCCCTCCTGCCAGGGTTCTTTCTGGAATGCAGACCTCCCGCCCTCCCAGGCCAGACATTTACAGAGGCTCCTCTTGTCCTCCTCTTGTCCTCCGGTGGCCTCAGCAGCTGGCCCCTTCTCCAGCCTTCAGCACAGGGGTCCTGATGGAAACTCCACACCTTCCAGAACGTGCCTGTCCTGCCTGTGCCAGGACAGAGCCCCCTCTCTCCACTTAGCTGCCTCCCTTGCAGGCCACAGCCCTGGGTGGGGCTTTTCTCTGGACCTAAGATGTTTTCCCTGTCCCCCACCCCCGCTCCCTGCACCCCTCAGCACCGGGCTCTCCTCTCTCCATCCCTGCCCTGAGCCCGTGTGGATGTCTCTGTTTGCTCCATCTGGGCCTGCCGCCCAGCCTCCTACCAAGCCTGGAGCCTCTCCAAGGCGAGCCATCACCCAGCTTCCTGTTCCTGAGGTCAATGACGGAGGACCGTGCTCACAAATTGTGCTTAAAAAGTGAGAGATCGGCCGGGCACGGTGGCTCACGCCTATCATCCCAGCACTTTGGGAGGCCGAGGTAAGAGGATTGCCTGAGCCCACGGGGTTCGAGACCAGCCTGGGCAACCTGGCGAGCCCTCGTTTCTACAATAAATCACAAAAATTAGCTGGGTGTGGTGGTGTGTGCCTGTAGTTCCAGCTCCTTGACAGGCTAAGGTGGAAGGATCGTCTAAGCCCAGCAGGTCGAGGCTGGGGTGGCCGTGAGCATGTCACTGCACTCCAGCCTGAGCAACAGAATGAAACTCCATCTCAAAAAAAAAAAAAAAAAAGAAACAAGCGAGAGACCAAAAGGGAAGGACTTGGGTGGGAAGAGCAGCACAGATACAGCACGAGAGGCTCCATCTGAAATGGGTCATGTTGCATTACATGGAGCCCATGTTTAAAGGTATCCTTGAGTTTTTTGTTTTTTTTTTGAAGCAGGTGGCCCAGGCTGGAGGGCAGTGGTGCCATCATAGGTCACTGTAGCCTCAAACTCCTGGGCTCAAGTGATCCTCCTGCCTCAGCCTCCCAAGTAGCTGGGACAACAGATGCACACCACTACACCCCACTAAATTCCCTTTAAACATGAGAATAATAGCAGCAGGGAGAGACATCTTTTCTTTCCAAGAAATGGAATTTATATGTGTTCTAGACATGTTACTATATGTTGTCTTGACTTATTTCATGGCACAAAAATCCATGACCTGGTCGGGTGTGACTGTGACCAGGGCGCTGTGACCTCCTCGGTGGCCTGTGGCTCCTGCCCT